AACAAAACACAAACATAATCAAATAAACCCAAAATGAAAGATACGAATCAAAACCAAAAACAAACGCGCAAACAAAACAATCAAACAAGTAAAAAAAAAACATGAAAATCAAGAAAACAAAAAAGAAATATCATAACCAAACCAAAACAAATTCAATCAATTAAAAAAAAAAAAAAAAAACGGGTGCACGCATTCGAACGGCGCCATTCCGAACGCTTACTCACAGCCCGGGAAGTCCTCGGATCAGCTGCGTCTTTTGGAATCCAGGAAGAGGCAGCTTTCTCTCGGAATTCGGAGTCATCTTGCCTCGTCGAAGTTTATTCTTAATTCCTTTATTATTTATTTGTTGATTTATCTTTATTATTATTATTTTTTTTTTTTTATTATTATTATTATTTTTTTTTTTTGAGTGGGGGAGGGGGGGGGGTTCTTGTGTTATTTTATTTCTTGTGATTTTTGTTTATTGTTTTTCCTGTTTGACTGATTCAGTTCTGTTTCCCTGTCTGTGTTTGTTTGTCTGTCTGTATTTGTGTATCCGTTTCTAGTTCTCTTGCTTTGCGTGTATCTGTCCCCTTCTCTCTCTCTCTCACTCCTCTCTCCTCCTCTCTCTCTCTCTCTATCCATCTGTATATCTATATCTATCTATCTATCTCTATCTCTCCCTCTTTCTCTCCCCGTCCTCTCTCTTCTATCTCTCTTTCTCTCTCTCTCAAACAAACCAAAAAAAAAAAAAAAAATCAATTCAACTCAAATAAGAATCAGATCAAATAAAGTCAAACGACACACATTCGAACGCCGCCTAAGGTCATTCCGAACGCTTACTCACAGCCCGGGAAGTCCGCCGGAATCTGCGTCTTTCGGCGAATCAGCTGTTTCTCTTGGAATCCAGGAAGAGGCTGCCTTCTCTCTTGGAATTCGGAGGACATCTGGCATCAGTTTTTATTTTATTTTTTTAATTAATTAATTTTATTTTATTATTTTTCTTTTGTCTAAATTAGGTTAATGTTGTTATTATATCATTTTCATTTTTTTATTGTTGTATTTTATTTTTTTATTTCTTTTGGGGGGGGAGTGGTTTTAATTTGTATTTTATTTTTTTCTTTGATTCTGGTTCTGTTTCCCTGTCTGTGGGTTTGTCTGTCTGTCTGTATTTTTGTCTTTTTCTCTGGTTCTCTTTCTGTGTGTGTGTATGTGTGCGTGCGTGTGTGTGTGTGTGTGTGTGTGTCTTTCATATTCTCTCCTCTTCCTCTTTAGCTCCCCTTCCCTTTCATTTCCCTTCCCCTTCCCAACTTTTCTTCCTCCTTCCTTCCATCCCTCCCAACCTTTCCCTCCTTCCTTCCTCCTCCCAACCTTTCCCTCCCTTCCTTCCTTCCTCCCTCCCAACCTTTCCCTCTTCCTTCCCTCCCCCTTTCCCTTCTCCCTCCCTTCTCCCTATTTCCCTATCTCCCTCCCTACCTCCCTATCCTCCTCCCTCTCTCTTTCCCTACAGTCCTCCCTCCCTCCCTCCTCCATCCCTTTCCCTCCTTCCCCCACCTTTCCCTTTATCTCTTCCCTCCTTCCCTCCCTTTCTCCCTCCTACCTCCCTTCCCTTTTTCCCTCCTCCCTTCCTCCTTCCCTTTTTCCCCTCCCTTCCTACCCTCCTTCCCTGTCTCCCTCCTACCTCCTACCCCTCCCTCCCCTACCTACCCTCCTATCCCTCCCTTCTCCTCCCTTCTTTTCTCCCTCCCTTCCTCGCTACTTCCCTGTCTCCCCCCCTACCTCCCTACCTCCTATCCTTCCCTCCCTACCTCCCTTCCCTTTCTCCCTCCCTCCTTTCCCTTTCCTTCCCTTCCTACTTCCTTATCCCTCCTTCCCTATAACCTCCCTTTCCCTACAGTCCCCCTCCCCCTCCCTTCCTCCCTCCCTCCCTCCTCTCCCTCCCTTCCCTATCTCCTCATCCCTCCTTATCCCTCCCTTCTCTCCCTCCCTCTCCTTTTTTAGTAGCCTCGCTCTCCCTGCGTCTCTGAACTGACAAATCCCCAAGGCCGTTTGGGTGAATCATCCCCATTCTAGCGGGCTATTGATCCCAATTTTGTTATGCCGGTGTCGATGTGGATCCCGCAAGTGAGTCAGTGCGTCCGTGCGTGCGTGCGTCCGTGCGTGCGTGCGTGTGCTTGCGTAAGCGTGAGTCAAGGGAGAGGGTTTATTGGGACACTCACGCTAGTCCGAGGTGTGTGTGTGTGTGTGCGTGTGTGTGTGTGACGTGTTTATTCCTTTGTGGTTGGGATAATTCGCTCTTTCTCTTTTCCTTTCTCTGTCTCTGTCTCTCTCTTTCTCTCTCTCTCTCTCTCTCTCTCTTCTCTCTCTCTCTCTCTTCTCTCTCCTCTCTCTCTCTCTCTCTCTCTCTCTCTCTCTCTCTCTCTCTCTCTCTCTCTCTCTCTATGTATCTATCTATTTATTTATCTATCTATCCATCTCTTTCAGCTATGTTTTTTGCATATATATGTATACATATATATAC